CAGAGGTATTCCCAAAGGTGATGTCAGCCACTTGCTGAACCTCCACAGGAGCAATGTAAATGCTGTGTGCCTTCAGAGCCATGCTGGGCAGTAAAACTGTCATTTGCCAGTTCTGTGAGGACACAGACATAGCTGAAGGGAAAGCTATCTGAGGTCTGTCAACAGTTCATAGATCCAAAACTTAAGAACATGAAACTTCCAGAATCAATAAATCAGGTATCTCTGCCCAAACTTGGTAAGTTACATGAATGTTTGAAATCAATTCCTTTAGATTGAAAGGGCCCCAGAAGTGAGACTACTTTCCCAGTTAATCTCACCTAGAACCATGAATAAGAAATGGCAGAAAAAGACAACAAACAATTAGTAGTAGGGGCAACACTACAAAAAGCATTTTGATTGTTAGTGGGATTACCATTTATCCATCTTTGCTGAAACTACTCTTTCTTTTCAAAGGTCCAGTGCAATGTTCAGCTGACTTACCAGGCTTGTGTTCCTTGGCTAACCACCTTACATTGTCAGTCAGTACTGCCTCACTCTAATTTCCTTATATGATGCAGCTGTAGAAATTGGCACACACAGTGCCTACTCTGCTCTGCAGAGGGATCTGGATAGACTTGAGAGATGGGCTGATTCCAATGGGATGAAGTTCAATAAAGCCAAGTGCCAGGTCCTGCACTTTGGCCACAACAACCCCATGCAGCGCTACAGGCTGGGCACAGAGTGGCTGGAAAGCAGCCAGGCAGAAAGGGACCTGGGGGTACTAATTGACAGGAAGCTCAACATGAGCCAACAGTGTGCCCAGGTGGCCAAGAAGGCCAATGGGATCTTGTCCTGTATCAAAAATAGCGTGGCCAGCAGGAGCAGGGAAGTGATCCTTCCCCTGTACTCTGCGTTGGTGAGGCCACACCTTGAGTATTGTGTTCAGTTCTGGGCCCCTCAGTTCAGAAAGGATATTGAGGTGCTGGAGCGGGTCCAGAGAAGAGCAACAAGGCTGGTGAAGGGACTGGAGCATAAGTCCTATGGGGAGAGGCTGAGGGAGCTGGGGTTGTTTAGCCTGGAGAAGAGGAGGCTCAGAGGTGACCTCATCACCGTCTATAACTACCTGAAGGGAAGTTCTAGCCAGGTGGGGGTTGGTCTCTTCTCTCAGGCACTCAGTAATAGGACAAGGGGGCACGGGCTTAAGCTCCGCCAGGGGAAATTTAAGTTGGATATCAGGAGAAAATTCTTTACAGAGAGTAATCAGGCATTGGAATGGGCTGCCCAGAGAGATGGTGGATTCACCATCCCTGGAGATTTTTAAACGCAGATTGGACGTGGCACTGAGTGCCATGATCTAGTAAATGGACTGGATTTGGACCAAGGGTTGGACTTGATGATCTCGGAGGTCTTTTCCAACCCAATCGATTCTATGATTCTATGATTCTATGATTTACTGTTTGGGAGATGGATATAAACAGATGACTTCTTCACGTACAGTATGACTTTTACACATTTAAAAAGTTAAATCCATTCACTGGGATTGAACTAATGAATTATTGTTTTTAATACATTCCAGTTTTTTAAATACCTGATTTTTTTTGTCTTGCAGAACAGGCTTCACAAATTGTTTTACGTCAACTGGCAAATTAATCTGAGTTTTTATCCTATAGACAGAGATATTGAAGGGATAAAATAAGGCTGTTTTGTGGACCCAAGTATAGGTCTTTTTGTGCTCCTCCCATCTACCAAATCCTGCTGTCTCTATTTCACCACAATAACAATTTTCTTAATCAATTTTTGTCCCACAACTGTCAGAAGAAAGGGAGGGTAATATGAAGCAATTACACAAAATAATGGCTTACTGTGAATGTATGTATAATTCACAGTAGGTGAAAGAGAGCATAAGTTTGCTGGAAATCATCAATAACCAATAAAAAAGCCCAAACTTCAGGCAAAGCACTTACAAGTTTTACTAAAGATATTTTCACAAGTAGCTGTTGTGCCAGCAGATGAGGTATGGTGTAGCTCCATATATAGATGCCAATGTGCAGTAGCATGTTTCTGTGCTGTTTCAGTTCTCCAAGCTGTTCATGGTGTGATGTTCTTTCACAGTGTCTCAGTTTGAGACAATTTGGAGGGGTGAAGACCTCGGATGGAAGTCTACTTCCTCAGATTCAATACCACTGGTTCTCTCCAATACAGAGAGAGATAGACCAAATACGCATGGATGTAAGGGAAAAAATAACTCTTTACCCATAACAATACCAATAAAACTGGGTTAAGCTAGCCAGTGAGGAGAAAATTCCCAAGCCTCCACACTATTTATTGAAGCAATCTTGAAGCACTGATATTAAAGCTAACTAATTATTAAGTAGAGAATGATGTTACTCACCCTTACCAACAACCATGCTCAGTCTCAAGGATTAACCTCAAGGGGCATCCCCTCTCAAGGGAGGAATCTACACAACACACTTCTAGAAGGAGTATGTTATAGGTCCCTGCTGTTAAAAAGTGGGACTGAACTTTTATAATATAAAGCGATTGACTGTTGGTCATATGTTTTTAGGCTAGTTGTGTCAGCTATGCAGCCTTTAGCTCAGCAAATTTAAACAAGTTATTGGTACTATCCAGTTGTTGGTTCCTTTATCAGGAACTTTGCCTGCCACATCCTCACTTGTGCCAGTTTCTGTCAGGAAACACTGTTTGAATGTTTAGCTTTGGGATTGTTGAGTCAGGCTGGTCTCAGCATTCTTCAAACCAAAAGCATCATGATCCGCCTTCTCAATCCACTGCTGATAACCTTTGCAAAGGGTAAAGTTAAAGCTTAGGCAGAGCATGTTTCTAAAGAGGCTTCACTCAGGATTTTCTTGCAGGTGGCATTCAGAGGTCTTGCTCTTTGGAGAGATCTTGGAGAGGTCTTGACTTTTGGAGAAAAAAGTTGTTTTAAGGAAAAATCGTGGAATGAAATGTCACTCTATAACTCATCTAATGTAAACAGATATACTCATAAAACTAGCTCAATTTTTATACATTCTAGAATATTTGCATTGGTCTATTGGGCTTTTTTAATAAGCAATGCTTACACAGGGCTTTTCATCCATTTCTCCACCTCAATATTACTTCTAATCCATTGATCCATTAACGAGTACCTGCAAACAACAAATTGCGCATCCCTTATGTGTGGTACTTCTGAGCCTTCAGATCACCATTATAATAACCAGGGAGAGAATATAAATGCAGAAGAGAAGGGTTTGGCATAAGCTACCAAGTACAGTCCCTTCATTATTGCTGACTTGCTAAATGACCTTGCTCAAATCCTTCTTGTGTGCCCAGTTTCCTCATCTGTTTGGGAATGATAACATTTACTCCTCTTTAAACCTATCTGATCTGGAGATCTGTTAACTGTTATAATTAGAAAAAGAGAAGTAGGGAGGATCCACCTTCAAAAGATGGGAGCAATCAATCTAATACTGTCCCTTTTTTCAAAAAGACTTGATGTGTTTGTTGCCAGTCAAGCCTTGCTTCCACTAGCAATATTCACTATGACAATATCATGTTGAATTATAGGAAGTTGCCTTCTGTCTGGCACTTACAGAAATGACTAGCTGTGTTTTGACTCTCTATTAGACACTTCCCACTTCAGTGTAAGTTTTGACACCAGCTGGCTTAGGGACTCAGTGGGGGATTTTTATTTGGCTATTTTAACACTGGTACCTTCCTACCCATGCCCTATTACCATGGCTTACGCAGCAAACTGTTTACTCTGGTACGGTTTGCAAATCAGTCTTTTCTGTGCAGTTATTTACAGTATGTGATGAAGAGTACGTAATAGTACAATGTTTTCCATGTATGTAGTCCAGTGACAGTAATGTGTTTTGTTTACAGCCATTATGGTGTTTTTTCTCTATGCTCTATATAGATCTTGTTTTGGGGGGGTTGGTTTTGCTGAAAGAAGCCACTAACAGTCTGCCGTAAACGTACATGCACAATTTTCTAATTGAGAAAATGTTATTTTCTTGCTTTTTTAATGCAAATTGCACTCATCATCTTGAATAGAAAGGAGGAGCTTTATCACACTGTCTTTAATATCACTTCTAAAAGGGTGAGGCTGACCAGAAAAGGCATGTGTGTGCATGATCCCATCCATCTCTTTGCCAGCAGGTTAGTCAGTCTTCCTCACTGCTGTCTATTGAATCTGTACCTTGTCAATTTAAAGTATGCAAGAGGAAGACTCACCCAAGGTCACAAAGCTGGGAAAATTTAATGAGGTTAGGTAGCTGAGTGCAGGAAGAGCCCTGGCAATTTTCCTACCTGGACTTGACCATTGTTGAAACCAGAGTCCTCTGGCAGCATCTCCCAGCACCACAGGGAACCCATCTGTCATAGGCACATATGCTGCCTCCTTGAATGACTCCTTTTTCTCAGTACAAAGAGGATGAACTAAACATTTCTCCAAGGAACCTGAACTTTGTATGGTGAGAAAGCACAATAGGGTCATTGATGTACCCAGGTTATTATTATTTGCAATCACTATATTTTTATATATATTTTATATATTGACTATATTTTTATTTCTATGTCTTGGAAACATTTGGAGATCAACTTCTGTCCTGGGAGAGCTCACATGGCCTCAGTGTCTGGGACCAGCCTTCTGTAGGACCCCCAGCTCCGCCGTCTCCTGTCAAGGGCCCAGGGGATGTGTCCCAGCTCAGCCTGGGGCCTTTAGTCCCTGCCTGAGCCATGCTGTACATGGGCCCATGTCTGCCCCTGTCTCCTGGGTGGGCCTGGGGTCTGCACTACAGAGACCTGCTCTCTGGGATGGACTCCTCAGACCTAGGTCATAGCTTGTTATGCAGAACTCTAGGAGTAACATACTGTATTCTATCCTATTTCTATTCCTGTTCCCTGCATGCACCATGACTCGAATAATGAACAACAGTTTAATTTGCCTGAAATTCCATGAGCTTTTCAGCATCAAAAACACTTTCAAGGACACATAACACAAAAGCAACAACCAGAACTGGGATTTTATTTTTGGTTTTATTTAATTTTTATTTTTATAAATCCATATCAGAGCCACTCTTCACAAGCATGTGTAGCCAGGAGCAGGCTGATATGTCTCAGTTTAGTTTGAAAAAACACCCTTTGCGGTCTGTCAATCTGACAGAGCTGCAGAAAGCAGCAGAAGGAATATAGGCCAAACAAACCTGTTTCCTGAAGAGAACATGAAGAATTAGGATCAGGAACAACCACACAAAAGAAGAAAAAAAAAAGAAGTATGGATGTGGGGCGTGAGAGGCCATCTTTGTGGTGCATGAGCAGCTGGCAGCAACCTGGCCAAAAGGGACTGGAAGAGCCTGACCAGTCATCATGCTCAATGCTGCAGAAGAATCAAAAAAACCTGAGTGATGACTGTCAGTCTGCACTGGTGTAAAGTTCCTTCCTGACCCCAGCACTGGTGATTGGCTATTCCCTGAGCATGTGAGCAAAACCCACTTCCGCATCATCCCACAGGCTGGTCACACCTCCCAGGAGATGCCCAAGACCTGTTCTCCCCCAGTCTGGAGCCATCTCAGGGCTTCTGAGAGTGGCCACATGCCCTTGAGCGAAAGACTGGCAGAATACCAATGAATGCCCCAAACCACTTGGACCCCTGCTAACATCTCTGCATCCCATTTCTTACAGATTCTGCTCCTGGCTCCACAGGGGGTGAGGATGGAGAGCTCTTTAGTGTCACAGGTACTGACCAAGAAGTAGCTGTCTTTGGACTTTCATTGAGATGTCTCATTGGAGAAAAGTGAAGTTTTATAAACACAGATTTTCTTTAACATTCTTAGGAGACTGAGTCTCCCCAGGTTTAGACCATTTCTTGAGTGACTCTAATGAAAGTCTTGGTTCTCCTGATCCTGTGTCCTGTAGATCTTTCTGATAGTTACATCAGAAAACCTCCTTTGTTGACAAGGCTGCAAAATGGAGAAAGATTTTTCCCAGCAGTCTAGGCTCATTTCTCATTTGCAGTAGTGTACTAAGAGCAGCTCTGGCATTCATTCTTTCATCTGCAGTGCAAATCAAAGTATGATGTTGACATGGGGCCAGGTGTTTATACCAAGTGTCAAGTGGGAGTCCTGACCTCTCTCAGGAATCAAAGAAAGAGTTGTATCAAAGAAAGATTAAGAGGAAATACGGTGTGGATGCTGCCCTAGACAAATCTGAGATTTGCACAGCTGCTGATTTGTAAGATGGTGGGTTGCTGTCTTGGTTTACTGACAGTATGTCCCAGGAGGTGGGACCTCCAACGGAATCGAAACCCCTCCCCCCCAAATCAAGAAAATTTTTTAAATTACAAGGTGTTTGAGTGAAGTATGAAAAATTAATAACAGTATTAATAAAAATGGAGAACAAAACAGAACAAACCCAAACCCAAACAATAACAAGAAAATGTCACCTTAAACCAGTCTTTCAGTACTGTGGCACCGAGACAGCAATGAGGTTCCGACGGAGGTCGTGTGCGGAGTGACGGTGTGGGGATGTGCAGAGCAGCGCTGGCGCCAGAGGTGCGGAGTGAGCAACGGCGGTGAGCAGCAGCAGGGAGTGTGGGGCGAACAGTGATCATGGGCTGCAGTGGCGGGCAGCTACGGCAGCTGTAAGCAGTGCTTACTCTGAGATGATAGTGGCAGCAACAACATCAGTGGTGAGCGACGGCAGGGAGCGTGGGGTGAGGATCGATGGGGCTCCAAGCTGCAGGGAATGGCAAGGTCTGGTCAGCAGCGAGGAAACTGCCAGAGCCGAGAGCCATAGCGAGAGAGAGCAGCCTGATCATGCTTCTGCATTCGCACCCCTCTATCGGAACCAGAAAGAGCGAGGTCTGGTAGCACCAGCAGTTTTATGCTTCCTAAGATCTTGTGATATCTCCTGCAGCGACCTCTCCTGCCCACCAGCCCTTCCTGCCCCCACGGGGTGGGGGGGGGGAGGGGGACGACGACGACGACGACACGACTGTCCAAAACAGCGTGCTGATATGAAAACAAGAAAATCTTCTTCTTCATTTAGGTAAACCATAACTGTTGCACATCCTGCCAGTCAGAGTAAACAGAGCAGCTTAGGCATTCTTAGCCTCCTTGCTGAATTAGTGTCTGGATAACACACAAATAGTCTGTTTGTATGATGCTACTTGTGTAACTATTCTAGTCTACACTGATATTGTTGGTAGTACACTGGCACTACCAACAGTGTGCTACCAAATCCCTATTCTCTGCTTTCATTGCCTTGATGATAGCCATGATCATAAAAAATAATTATTTTCCCTAAATTAAAAAAGAAAAAAACCCAACAACAACAACAAAACAAAACAAACAAACAAAACCCCAAACAAGCAGACAAACAAACAAACAAACAAACAAAAAAACTGCTCATGTGAAGGTCCTGAGAATCATAACCTATTGGAGCCCCATATAAAAACCCTGTGAGGTAAGTATTGTCATTTTTATTCCCATTTTACATGCAGAGAAACTGGAGTGAATGTTGTAGTCCGGGTCACATAAGAAGTCAGTGAGCAATCTGGGAACAGAACTCTAGAGTCCTAACAGAAAGTCTTCTGCCCATCAGTTTGAGTCACTAAAGCTTTAAGAAATTAAAAGTCATGAATCCCCTTTATCCACTCCTGTATGAAGATGATAAATACTACTGTTACTGTTCTGGATAAACCTCTTAAAACTATTAGCAAAATCATATCTTCTGGCAACAACTCAAATAAAATTCCAGGTATCAATAAACATTTCCCCACTCTGAGCAAGGGAAAATTAAATAACAGTTTGGCTGAATCTATACTGAGTACAGAAAATGGAATAAATATGGAAAGTGAATGTGCCTCAAAGAGCAGTAATTCACCTGGATATTTTTCAACCTTTTAATGAATGTGAATTTAATCTAGTTGAAAACAGGAAGGATTGTGACTATGAAGAAATCCAGATGTGTCTTTCTAAAGTTTATGAAATCTGTAGTTTTTTATTTCCCAAGGTATTTTGGAGCATGATTAATCATTCAAGGACCTTAACAAGATTGGAGTGTGACTGTTCTAGCATTTGATGTTAGCTAGCTCACACAGGGGAATCTTTTTCACTTAGGATTCATGCTGAGAGTGATGACTTTTCTTTTAAAATGCTTATCATACTAATTATTGAATTGATTATTTTGCAAATAATATCTAAGCATAAGATGAAAGCATTTTGATCATGATCATGTGTTATTTTTTAGTCTATCTATGTAAAGAGGTAAGAAAGCAAGACATAGATTCAAATAAACAGAGTCAAGAAGTTGATAATGGTCAGATTCATATGTATTCCACTTCTGACTTTCACAATGACCTGTAGTTTGCTGGAAAATCAGACAAAATGCATCAGATCTACCTATTCCTGAATTCTGGGAAACATGATCTCTATCCAGATTTATTGTTTTGAAATCATCTTGATATTTTGGGTACAGTGAGGTGTTAAGCTATATATATTTAGATAGGTAAGTATAGGTCAGTTGCTTCTTCATTTATGTATGACAATTTAGCTACTGTCTAAACTGTTGTTTCCTAACCCTGAGAATGTTCCTTGGGATTCAACTGTATTGATGTAGTCTGCTGGGATGTCTGAATAAGGGCATGATTTCAAGATCCAGTGTTTCAAACTGGTTAATTGCCCAAATTTCAATTTTGGAAATGCTTATGTTTCATTTCAGAGTTTTACATCTATATTTATGATTTGCATTTTTTTTTCTGAATGTTTTCCTAACCCAAAAGAATCCTGGCTTTCAGGCTGAGAAACCCTCCTTTGCACATACAGGCTGTGCTGAATGGGATGGACAGAGCTTCTGAGGAACTGATTTCTTGTCTACTAGTGAGTGAAAGCTAGGCATGGTAACCATCGTTGTTATTCCTTTGTCACCACCAGCCATCAAACCTCAGCTGCATCACCTCAGGAGGCCCACTCACAACTCAGGAGACTACTTCCCTGCCTTCCACAAGAAATTGGAGGAACATCAAGTGAGATGTAAAGTCCTTGATGAGAGGGAAAGGATGAAGAAGATTCAGCATATTTCCCAGAGCTGGAATAGGAAATAGTAGAAGAGTTAAAGAGGCATCTTGTGGAATGATGCTTCTCACAGGCAGATGGAGGATATTGTGCAACCATTGCACAGCCATACTACACTGTACAGCAGCTGCAATTTTGAATAAAAGCAAGTGTATGATTTAACTAAACGATATAATGGACATTTTGTTAGAAATGTTCTCAGTAGCCTTATTATTGCAGCATATGCCCACTTAGTACTAAAGTATTGGGCTGCTACTTTAAAAGATGTAACTGTATATGGCTTGTCTCCTGTCAAATTAAGCCAATGCTTTCCTAGATTATTTGACTCCTTATGGCGTTCTCAATGCGACCTTCTGCCTACCACAGGTAAAACAATAACTCTTACTTCAGACAGCAAGGGAAAATTTTTTACTGTCTAGCAGTACTGAGAATAAATGTTTTCCTGTCATAGTGTGACCTATCAGGAGGATGCAGGTGGAAGGCTGGAGTACAAAATCCTCTCCCTTCACTCACTGGAAAAAGAACACATAGCACAGCATTAAAATTGTTCTTTGCTCAAACTCTGTTCAATGTTAAATAACACTGATTGTTTTCTATGGCATTAATTTAGTTGAGTTTGATCTCATGTGTTCTTTTGATGCATAGTGTCCCATGGCTCTCAGTTTCACAGCTGAACGTGACCCTTCTGAAAAAGTTGCTCTTGCCCCCAGATTTTGCACTTTGAGAAACAGTGGCAAATAGCTCTCTGCCCTCTTTCTGGAAGCTCCTGGTGGTTTACATACTACCTCAATTGTCCCTTTCCAGTCCTTTTTTTACTCTCCTCAGAGGCAAACCTGCTCTACTTTATATCTTCCTTGCTACTCTTCACTATATCTTTGTTTTATTCTAGGGAGAGAACGAGTACTGCACGTGGCTCAAGTGTCAGGTACACCAGAAATCTATAAAATAGTGTAATGACACTTTCCATTTCATCTTCCAAGCTTTTCTGAATAGATTTTTAAGTTGTACTTTCATTTTTGAACCTCCTTGAGGACTGAGCAGTAGTTTCTGTAGAATTACCTATAATAAATACTAATTAATTTATAGCCGAAACACACATACAGAGTTGCGGAGTTGGGGTTTCCTCTCCCTATATGCCTCATTCTGCACTTACCAACACTGAATTGGTGGTTTTGCCAATTACACTGAAGTAAGCTGCTGCTTCTAATTTTTCTATTTCTTCCCCACTTTACATTCTTCATTTCTGTTTCTTGCTTGCTTTCTTCTTTTACCAACACCTTTTCCAAATCACATCTTCTGGATAAGTACATTGAATAGCAGAAACAACAATCCTCCTTTACTATGAATCCTGACCATTTCATAACAATTTTTAATTTATTTCTGCATTTTTATTTTTCCCCCATTGTTAACTAGTTGTTTACCTATCTTAAGATCATATGTTGCTAACTTCTTTCAATCCATGACAGCTCAGTAGCTTTGACAGTCTTTGGGTCAAGCCCTTGTCAAAACAGAGAACAGCAAAGCATATTGGCTCCTTCAAGGAGTGTTGAGGTTGGTGAAGCAAAATTTCTCGTACAAAAACTTGGCTGAACACTCTCTGTCATAAGTATTCCTGCTATGAGTATCCCCACTACCTACTAGTTCTATTATTTATATTTGTGAAAAATTTGTTCACTGTGAATTTGCATTGTTATACACTACAAGTTTGTAATCATGTCTAACACCAAAACTACACCAGCTGGTGTATCCACCATTGCTGCAGGACAGTCACATTGAAATCATGGCTGGTTGTTGAATGAAAAAAGCCAAGGTCTATTTCCAGTGTTATAGATGCCCTTCACTGCAATTCCAGGCACACTCACCGCAAGGTCTCACACTTTTTCACAGTGTTTTGCTAGACATCTTCACTGCCTGAGTACTCTCATGTCACCATGTTTCAGTTATTTTCGTCTGTTGTACCCTGTGCTTCATGTTTGTGATATTGACCTTCAACACCACCAGCACTTGTGACTCCAGCAGCGGGGTTGGGTCACTGCCTAAACCAAATGTGAAAAGGAATGCACTTTAAAGCCTCTTGCTTATGAAATGTATTTATCTCCAGGAATTTTCTGAGAACTGTATTTTGCTTGTAGAATACCCTAAGATATTTTACACAAATTGGCTGTATACTGCATGTATTACATCCATATATATATATGAATATGTGCAAAATTACTTCTGTGTCATTTCCTTCCCTTTAGGGCACTATACCTAACAGAGAACCTGACTGTTCTCTGGACAAGTGGACAGCACTAGGTCACCTGTACAAGCTGAAAGAGGAGTCTTTTGGGGTTTTGCCTTTCATTATTATCTACAGTTTATTTGGGTTATTATTTTTCTGTCAGAAGCGTCTCACAAAGGGATTGATTTCTGCCTTTGCTCTCCTGGTCCACACTCTCTCTCTTGCCGTAAAGCAGAGGTAAGTTGTCATCTTGAATGTACTGGTATGTAGTCAAAGTACAGGGTAATGAAATTACCTACCTGAGGTGTCATCATGGAATCATAGAATGATTTGGGTTGGAAGGGACCTTAAATATCATCTCATTCCAACCCCTCTGGCATAAGCAGCGACATCTTCCACATGGCCAGTGCCTCATCCAGCCTGGCCTTGAACACTTCCAGGTATGGAGATCCACAGCCTCTCTGGACAACCTGTTCCAGTGCCTCACAGTTCTCAAAGTAAAGAATTTCTTCCTAATATTCAATCTAAACCTACCCTTTCAGTTTAAAGCCATTGACCCTTATCCTGTCAGTGCCTTTGCAGAAAGACCCTCTTCAGCTTTCTTGTAGGCCTACTTCAGACACTGGAAGGTGCTATAAGATTGTCCTGGAGCCTTCTCTACTCCAGGATGAACAACCTCAACTCTCTCAGACTGTCTTCATAGGTGGTGCTCCAGCCCTCTGAGCATCTTTGTGGCCCTCCTCTGGACCTACTCCAACAGGTTTGTGTCTTTCCTGTGCTGAGGACCCCAGAGCTGGAAGCAGCACTCCAGGTGAGGTCACACAAGAGTAGAGTAGTGGGGCAAAATCACCTCCCTCGACCTACTGGCCATGCTGCTTTGGATGCAGCCCGGATATGATTGACTTTCTGGGCTGCAGTCACACATTGCTGGCTCATGTCCAGCCTCTCATCCACCAGCACCCCCAAGTCCTTCTCCCCAGGGTGCTGTTGATCTATTCATCCCCCAGACTCCTGATACTGGGGGTTGCCTTGATCCACGTGTAGTACCTTGCACTTGGTCTTGTTGAGTGTCATGAAGTTCACATGAGCCTACTTTTCAAGCTTCTCCAGGTCTCTCTGGATGGCATTCTGTACTTCAGGAACATCAACTGCACCACTTATCTTGGTGTGTCATGTGGAGTGTATATGGTTCCTAAACTTTATTGGAGTTCTGATCAGTTTCCTCTTTGATCTCATTTTTCTCCAGCTAAATCCATTCTGTATTGAACTGCTGTCCATTAGAATGTCCTCTAGAAGGTGGCTGTTCACCCAAGTGGTTTAGAGAGGGTTTTTTTGGTTTTTTTCTGGAGCCGGGGAAGGTGAAGAATGCTGCCAGATACTCACTGGTATTGGAAAGATATCTCAGAGTGTCTCTTTCCTCTTTCAAAGCCTGGGGCTTTTGGCTGAAATGAAATACTGTAAAGTGGGGGAGAGAGGATGTTGTTGCAGACTGTTCTTAGTAAAACTTGGATGTTTTACAGAAATAATTCCCAAGTTTAGCACTTAGTTGTGCTGATGGCATCCAGCCTGATGCATAGAGATGTGTAATGGAGTCGATGGACTTATCCTCCTAGTCCAACCCTGACATCTAGTGTACAACAAAGGAAAATTTTCCACAAATGAAATCCGTGTTATCTGGAGGAGGGCCAGCTTTGAAATGCATTTGACTCGTTTTTGTATTTATGATTTTGGAGATAACCACTTGCTCCCAGCATAGAAATAAGTCTGTCTGTCTAGACAAATTTTATGATCTTAGATCTATGATGACATTTAAATTTGTTATCACGAACTCATTACAACTATCAACACTTGCAAATTTAATCTTTTTTTTTTTCTCTATAGTTCATTCATGAACAGAGTCTTTACTCTAATCACTGGATCACTTCACTACAGCAGAAAAGTTTGTCACTCTGTTATTTGAGGAGGAGTTCTTTGTTTATTTTTTTAGGAAAGGATTAAAACCTGAATTAAAATATGAATGTTAAAATCCACGGTGAGTGAGGCACAGAAAGACTCTTGAGTACTTATTCCTTGATTCCTTATATTTTGTGTTTTTCCTTGGGACTCCTCATTGCTCTGGCACCCCATTGTTGTGGTTTCAAGACTAAATTATATTTATTGTGAACTTTCTGTGAATTTTTAACTCAGCTGGCAATCACTCCCTTTACTCCAAACCTTCCTCCTGATCTCTCACAGACCTGCTAAGCATCACTAAGAAGCCCCCTTGGTATGGATCCTGGGCTATAGTCACAGAATGACTGAAGCATGATCAATACCTCTGGAGTTGGCCAGTTCAAGTAGGTTCCACTGAGGCAGGTTACTCAGGGCTGTGTCCAGTTTGGTTTTGAAAATATCCAAGGATGGAGAGTCTGCAAGCTCTCTGGACTATCTGTGACAGTGCTCAGTAGCAAAAACATGTTTTCTTACTTGTAAGTGGTGTTCCATGTGTTTCAGTTTGCACCCACTGCCTCTTGTCCTGTCAGTGGATACCAATAGGAAGAGCCTGGCTCCCTCTTTATTCCTCCCCGTCAGACATTTGCGTGCATTATTATATGCATTGATAACTTCCCTTTAAGCTTTCTCTTCTCCAGGCTAAACAGAATACAGAAAAACAAACCTGTGACAGGTATAACTTTGTTTCAGACCCTAAGACCACCTGGGGGCCTAAAATCTTCTTTGAAGGTTGGAAAAAAATTGACAGCTTGGAAAAATCCAAAGCTCACAGTAATGTGTCTCACAGTCATATATACACATGTTGCCGTTCAGAGGATCATTGCAGCTGAAAGAATAAGCACAAATGCTCCATCAAATGCAGTTCTTTTATTTCTAGAATGTGCATAATAATTTAGCAGTCACTCGTCTCTCTGTCCAGTCTGTGTCTTTTCAGGATGTCAGGAATAAGGATGGATTAAGCTTCCCTTTATAGCTCCTGGATCTGACAGGCTACATGGGTTCCTCATGCAGGACCAGAAGCCAGTATCATGGGGTAGAAACTGGCTTTAAATGTTCACTCGTTCTATTTCTGGATCTACATTGCCAAAATATTGGTATTTCAGTTTGCACCACCTCACTTTAAAAGGCCCATGGCTTTTTGGGAGGGATGTGAGGAACAGAATAATATCTGTTTATTAACTTATCTAAATACAAGTGAGAAGCCAAAATTTCTAATGTGCTTCACTGACATGCTTTTTTGATTTTTGCTTGTAGATGGTATTGCTGGGCAGTCTCTCTGCATACAAGAATACTGTAAGGTCATGTGTAAAAAGTGTAATCACAAAAGGTAGGGATGGCATAGAACACGCAGGAAGATGATCTGTTATGATATCTAAACATATCAATTTATGTGGTCAAAGCATTATACAATTATCAATTTACTAACCACTAAGACAAAATTTCAACCAGACATAAATTCATTGTAAGTTTTGCTAAACTCAGTGCATGCAAATGCTGCTTTATCTATGAATATAGTGTGAGTTTACAATAGCATCATGAATGTTGCTTTGAATTTGTTCCACATATCCCATGAATCTCATATTTAGCACTACAAAAATGCTCATCACAACCCCTTCAAATAGGTGATGGACTTTCTGTAACCCTTAGTTGAAAGTTGTTAAAGCATAAGACCATTAAATCCCTTAGTCCCAATTTTATTGTAAATGGACACCTGTGTCTTAGTTTCTAGGTAGACGCTAATTGAGAATTCACTTCAAAAATATTAGCCATTAATGATCTCCTGACTGCAGTCTTTTATTCACTAACTGAAGCACTTCATTCTCTGCTGAGGGCTTAGAGTGGTTGTCCCACCCAGTGCAGACTTCTGGGGTAAGATGCCATTCCAGATAAATATCTGAATGCAAGCCAGCTATCAAGACACAAAGCAGTCAATGCACATAGCAGACAATGTAAGTGACTTCAGTCTGGAGCATCCCAGTCCTAACAGTCCTATGGAAATGCTTAGGTGTGTCTGTGCTTTCAGTTTCCTTTCATTTTTGGTGTAATGGCCTTTGGGGACACTGGATACAAAAGCATTTCTACCCCAGAACAAACCAACTCCTGTCATTTGTCTGGGGAGAGCAATTTGTTGGTTTTAGCACTATCTGGTCTTAAATGGAGACTGAATGACAATAAATAAACCCAATAAACCACTGTAGAGTTCACACGCGATTCTGCAAAACCTAAAGGCTTTGTTTTGGGGGAAGGGGAATTGTCTGCCTCATTTGAAAAAAAATTATTTTATTCCCAAACAAAATGACATTTAACACTTTGACTGCAATGAAGCATGTGGAAGCAGACAAATGATTCATCACACTGCTTCCCAGGAACATTGCAAAACCTTCTATTAACTTAATTGATCAAGTGAAAAATTACTTTTAATTGCTTATGTTGCTCCTGAGTGGAAGAACAGAAAAAGCTGAATTGCCAGGTTGTGAATATGCAGTTTTAAAAGAATTGCAGAATATGATGTGTGTTGCAGCATTTTTATGTCTGGACTTCGAGTTGATCTATACAGGGATGGTAAATTAGGCTGGTGTGCCATCAAAGATGTCACTCAGACTGTAAGTCCTCTTTGCTGAACAACATATAGTGCTAGGCTTAAAGGGCGCTTTTTTTGTTGTTGTTTGGGGTTTTTTTTCCCTATTAAGCTGTGTCAGAATTCCCCAGGCTTGGAAACAAATCCTTTTCAGAGCAGTGAAGTCAGTCACATCCTATTTGTGCTCCTGCTTTGTGTTGTTAAGGGCCTTCATGTCTAAACATGTATATTTTCATATCTAATCCATTGCTGATGTTCATTTGAATCTTTTCAGGATTCCACACTCTCACTCTTGCTGTATTGTGCACTGAAAATATTCACCAGCTTCACTGGTAAAGCTAGACTTGAGTCACACGTATTTTTTTTCACATACTTGATGTGACATACTTTACTGTGTACCTTACATTACTGTTGTTATATGAACTATTGATTGTTTGTATTTTAAATATCTCACTGATAGGTTAACAGGATAAAAACAAGTACACCTCCTAGTTATCAGGCATCCCATTAATAATATAGCAGGCCTCTTGTACACTTTAATATGCAATTATTTATTATAAGCTTGTTGATTACATCTTGAAGCTCGATATTTGTGAATAGACTGCATTCTCATGAAAGATGCTGGGTCAGTCACTGTGGCAAATGAAGTCCAAACTAGTGTGGTCCTCAGCTGTCTACCTAAGAGAGTTAAAAAGATAACTAATTTCAGTCTGCCAGGCTAGATGATTTACAGTCTTAAGCTCTGCCAGGGGAGGTTTAAGTTGGATATTAGGAATAAATTCTTTACAGAGAGGGTAATCAGGCATTGGAATGGGCTGCCCAGGGAGGTGGTGGATTCACCATCCCTGAAGGTTTTTAAGATGAGACTGGATGTGGCACTGAGTGCCATGGTCTAGTAACCACGGCAGTGTTGGATCAAGGGTTAGACTTGATGATCTCAGAGGTCTTTTCCAACCTGGTTAATTCTATGATTCTGTGATTCTACGATCTTCAACCTCTCTGCTCAGGTCCCTAAGGGCCCAGCTGGCAGTGCTACTCTATCTATCCCAGAGCTATTAAGGTAAGCACAAACTGGCCATTCTACCAGGCTGTAGCTCGCTGTGAAAATTATTGATTGAATCAACGAGGTAAACTAATAAAAAAAATCACATGGTGCTGTTCCACCTTGCAGTAGGCATATGCCATTGAGTAACACTATTCCTATTACTCAGTTGTCACTTTCCACTTTCCAAAAGATTTTCAATCTTTTCCACCTCTTCTAACTGACCTGGAACTCAATTTAAAAAGCAGATGTCAAAAGAAATTATTTGGAGCAAAAGGATCAACTATCCAACTATTTTATCTTTCACTGACCAGTGGAGGCAGTTGTTTACACTGATGTAACAGGCAGGCACTGCACTTCCCTGATGTTTCTCTTCTGAGAGCTCTTCCCTCCATCCTGATGTGTCAGTGCTGACAGCCCTTAGATGTAAATTTTCATTCTACAGTGAATCTCTCTTTTACTCCTCACAAACACAAGTCATGAGCAGATACAGGCAGAAGAAATTTTTGCTTTCAATTCCAGGGTCTGGCTCCTGCTCTCACACCTTCTCCATCTATCACATCAGCTTTGCACATGGGAATTTTTACTGTGGTCAGTGTTATTCCAGAAGAGGAAAGCTGGACAAATTAGGTAAAATGTCAGGAGAAAAATGCAATTTGAATGATTAGTTGATGTTTTTCTGCTCTGGTATCTAGTTCCAGGTACACTCTATGAGAGTTGTCCTTTGTATTAAGCCTTATCACCACATTGCACAAAGCTAGATCTGTTCTGAGATGGATTCCTAATTTACAGAAATGCTGGGAAGCCACTTGTAGTAAACCAACAGAATCATTCAAACCCCAGGTGTCAGTGAAATTTCTGTCATCATCTCCTATGATGCTTTCTGGGAATTCATGAGATGCAGATAAACACTTGATGATAGTTTAAAATCAAGTGCATGCTTGAGAAAATTATTATTTATAAAAATGAAAGAACTTTCTTTTCTATGTGCTGCCACTTTGAATGACCCAGAATTATTTACACTGCATTATTGGAAATATCACTGTAATCTTAACTGTGGATTGTGTCTCCATCCTTTTCTTCATCTTCCATAATCACTGTTCGTTCTTCTTCTGTAAACAGCTTAGTGCCTTAAAAACAGAAGGACACAGAAAACAAAAAAAAAGAGGAAAAAAGGAGTTGATTTAGCATACTACTTTTTAGACAGTACCAGGCTAAAAAGAATTTTTCAGTCCTCTCTTACTTCTTGATCCTAACATAGTTTTCCAATATCATGGGAGTTACTCCTCATTTATTTTCAGCACTTCGGTCTCCTGATATTTAGTGAACTAGAATTGAATCACTGCATTTTTAGCTAAAATTATTAGGCACTCTTAAATCCAGCATATTTTTCCTATATGTGAAAAGAGATACTGAAGTTTCATTTGGGAACCTGTTTGTTAAAAGCGTTTGAGGAGCTAAATAAGGGAAAGAGCTTGCCCGATTAAGTAAATGCTGTGATTAATCTTTGTGACTCAACTAGCTTATGTGAATGTGTATATGTTTCCTCTAAGTATATAGCCATATTACTGAGATTTTTAAAGTGCAGATGATAAAAGAGACAAAGGTTAGAACACCAACATGACAAGTGCCATCTCCACTGAAGTTATATAGTATCAATAAATTGCAAAAGCTACTGAACAATGCGAAAACAGACTTGGGTTGTAGATTATACCTTCCACAAATCTCTGTCTCTCCTCCCTTCTTTTTCTCTTTTGTACTTGAACTGGTAAGTCCACCCTATAGGGGTCTTGAGGCTCTTGTGTGATACCAAGATATCACAAACACTGTAAATGCTCTTTTCATTTAGAAAATAAATAAGAATGAAGTGAGAACAATGCATTAGGTACAAAATGTTCTTGAACTCTATTTTAACATATTGTGCTGGATTTGCCTGTTTCCAGAAAAAAACAAGTGACTTGTGTGATGAATTTTATGTCCACATTCCTTGGTGTGGATGTTGACATAGTCTACAAACAGGATGAGAGATATCATTGTGCTGAGACCAATGAAATCTCTCCCAAATTTGGTCTCCTGATGTTTGATACCAGGTGAGCTGTTCTGTCAAAGCAACCTGTTTTGCTTCTTTCTGCATCAAAAACTCTTTTACAGAGAAGGCTTTCAGTCTTGCCAAGGTCTGAAAATAGGGCAATACCACAGAGGTAGATTTTCTTTAACTTTAGAATCTTTTCAGGGGTGATGAATTAATGAAAATATCAACCTGTACTGCCCTTCATTTAAGTTAACTCCATTTATATGCAGTTCTTGTGAACTAGCACTATGAAATAAACTGAAAGGCATAAATAAATGTTAATTTGAAGCACAAAGGACTTTATTTGTTCAAGAAGTAATTGAGTAACCACCATTGTTAACTGCAATGAATGATGACATTTTATGGAGATGGATGTAAATGTGCCCCACACAGACTAATATTCCTATAGACAACTTAGGCAAATATAGACAAATTTTTTTTACTGTTGTCTTTGGGGGTTGGGTTTTGTCTTTTAAGAGGGAGTGGAGGGTTTATGTTGTTGGTTTTTTTATATCATGGAGCATTTGAGGAACAAGGAAAACATAATTAAAACATGCTTAAAATGTGAAGCTAGAATGGATGATTTGAGGAGAGCTAACCTGCTTTTTGGGTAAAATCAGGAATAAGAGATCAGATATGCACACTAAATAAATGGATCATTTCCACTCTCTTATTTAAATGATGAAGTGATGAAGGAAAAACGTGTTTATGTAATTCTGATGGCCTAGTTATAGCACATAAACTAGTCCTTTTAGCAGATGCTAGAGACAGCTGAAAGGTAACACGCAGGCAGAGGTCTCAGCTCTAGTAGCACAGACGCTCACCACAATCAATAGCAAGATCATTACCAATTAATCACTTTGGTGACTGATGAACTCCAAAGGTTTCCAGTAGAGTTCATGATTCAGAGCTCAGACGTGGATGTAGCCCAGAGATGCAGGTTTCATGGACCACCCACAATTGCAAGGACAAATCAGCCTTTTAATGCAAAACAGTGGAAAGGGTATACAAATGGCATGTCAAAGTTGTAGTTATTTCTGTAACACTGGGAAAGGATTTTTTCCTTTGATACAGTGCCACTGATCACTTGTGGAGGAAATGTGCTTTACTGAATGCAGTTCAGAAGTTCTGGGTGTGAACCAGAAGGATACAAGAAGGTCATTTGATTTGAGGAACATTTGTGAGTTAGTCTTTCTCTGTTTACTGATTAAATAAATCACTTAACCTTTCTGCCTCTGTTTTCCCAGCTGTGTGTACTATGAAATGCAACTCATCCTGCAGATCTATTTTAAGGATCGGTAGGTTGTTCTGTTAATATCTGCCAAGGGATCTGACTAAAGAAATGAGAAGGTGGTCATAATTTCCCAACAGAACTTGCAACTACTTGCAATTTTTAGCTAGACTAGAACCATAAAGGCTCACAGAGACATAAGAGTTTCTGTTAGGAAGCTCAAACATAGACAGAAGAAGTCAGCTTAAATCAACTATTTGCCAGGTGCCCCCTAGATCTAAGCCACTCCTCCTAGGCTATAAATCAGAAAATCAACAAAATAGAAAAAAATAGTCTGTCTACAGACTGCCTATGGACAACTCGTGCTGGAGAGGCAAGAGGTGACATTAAACTTCTGTGCTTCTCATGTTACCCAGAGGTTTTCGGTGGAGTTGTGATGTTATCCTAAAGGAGCTGCCTTAACTGGTTTTCTAGGGTATAAGAATGAATGAGGGTTTGAAACTGTGGTTTTGCTATTTACCTCTGATCTGATTTAGAAACCCTAAGCAGCCACATTTCAGGAACTGTCTTCCCATATTTAGGCATGTATTTATATTGTATCTCAAACCCACAGGCCTGAAGAGCTCTCAGAAATACTTCAGTTACTGGAATATATTGCTAAGTGTGGATGACAATAGAGAGTTCCAGAGCTGACTACAGGCTTAGATCAGATTCAAGCCATTTTCTGTTAGGTGAGACAGAAAAAAGACCGGTGGAATTGTGATTCTATTTTGTGTTTTAGTCTAATCCCTTCAGAAAAGGTGTTGGCTGACTGAAGGCGAGCTGGCCATTGAAGGAGACTTCTGCTCATAGTTTATTTGTATGCACATGGTACAATGTTATATGTGGCACTTCAGTAGAAGTTTGAAGGCTGAATAGATTTAGAAGCCTAACCCTTGTAGAGGAGAATTCAGATAACTAATTTAGCAGCCCCTTTTCTGTACCTGCATTTCCCAATTGTATTGGGTGTTTGTAAGGTGTAAGACTGATTCTGCTTCTCATTTTGACCACATGCCATCTAGTAGATACACTGATTTTCATCACCCTTGAATTGGCATCTAGAAGTGGTTTGCAGAGGATATGAAGGGGAAATGTTAGAAATGGGGACAGTCTTCATTAGCAGGTCACAAGAGAGGCCATGTAGCACTGAGAGTGCTGCTTAATGAAAATATTCCAATAACAGGGGGACAGGACAGAAAGGCCTGCCTATATTTGTTGAGCACACATAGCCCTGCTGGGGCTTCTCAGGTCTCCAAGTCTATGATTCAGATTTCATTTTGCATATCAGTTCCAAAGAGTTCATTTTGTTTGTGCTCTGTCTGCTACCTGATGGAATAACTATGAAAGTAAGCAAGTGGACCAGCCTTCAACCACAATTTAGTCACTTTTTCATAGCAAGTCATGGAGCCATCACTGATGAATTTCAACAAGCAGGATGGTGAATGTTGATATGTATCTTGAAAAGAAAATATGCATCCTTAGAATAGGAAGGGAGTGAAATTGAAGCATTCAAACACATAAGTTAGTTTGCCCCTGATATGGGCACAAGTCTGCCAATCACTGGAAAACAGACCCAAATACAGGATCCGAAAAAGCTTTACATGGAGAGGCAGCATCTAGCAGGCTGCTTTGAATCCATGTTGCGTGCTGGAAGGTGGCGTCACGAGTAGGCAAGAAAGTGTCATTGGAGGTAGAACTGAAAACAACTGAAAATTGCATTAGTTTCTCTCATTTTCCCCATAACAAATGCACAGAGTTTGAATTTTGTCACACATTTGTAGGTCACCAATTTTTTTTCACCTCCCCTTCCTTTCGCTTCCCTTCCCTAGGAGCATCTTATGTAAGCGTGTATGTATTGCACGTTATGCCAGAAGCACAGAACTGTTTTTAAGGTGCTGTTAATGAGAAGTTCATCACAGCTTGATTTTCTCAGTGCGTATCAGGAACTGTGGAGTGAAGAGGAGGTTAATCAGTACAGCTTTGCTTTAGGTTGTTTGAGGCATTATAGTGCTGGTGACCTAAAAATTTACAGGTGCTGAGGTTTGAAAAGCAGGGCATTAGTTGGCCTGTCAGAAAAGTAGGATTACAGTTTGCAAAAGATAATCAAGTGACCAAATATCTTCTCTTACTTCCCTTCCTTTCTGTCCCCAGAGCATGAGCAGGGGATATGTAAAAGACTTTTCATGAGCCACCATTGTTATTAGACCAAAAAGGTCCCGTTCATTAAGAGCAGCTAAGTACGCTGGGCAGAGAGTAACCTCCTCCCAGGCATTCCTCTGACACTAGCCACTTTTTGCTTCCTCTTTGGAGGACCGTTCACCTAGGTTTCTTACCCATTATCAAAGGTGGGATGTGTACTGCAGGTGTATCTTTTCTCCTGGGCTTTTTCTGCTCCAGTTCAGTGATCTGAGAGACTGGACTCACTCTCTCTCTCTGTGGCTTCTCTGTGATACCATACCTTTTCAGCAGATTATCAGAAAAGTCTGAAAGTATGCCTGCAAGCAAGGAAAAAAAATAAAAATGCCACTTTAGCCTAGTTCACATTGAAGAAACTTACACCTGTGTAATTCTCCCAATGACTACTCTGATGTAAGGCTGCATGAGTGCATGATCTGCTGCGTGGCATACCTACCCTACTTTTCTTCCAAGTTGATTATAGGCTGTAGACAATAAAGCTATCAGGCCAGCTGGCTTCTGATTGTATTAATGCACTAAACTGCAGCCCATCAGAAATCATGGTAAAGATTTCTATTTCAGAACCTTAGACATCTTGTCAAAGTAGCTTAATCACACAGATGCTCAAACCTCTAGTTGGGAACAATGGGATTGCACAGAAATGGCTTATTTTATCTAGTGAAACAATGTTTTCTTTATGGTATGGTAGTTGCAGGCACAAAATGCAGGTCTTCAGCCTCTGAGCCACTCTTCCCTAAAAGAGAATTGCTGATGGAAGATACATGTGAAAATTGAACAGAGTCAAATTCAATATCTGGATTACAAATGCTGGAAAATCCCAGCTACTTGTTTTTGACTTGATGAATTGTTGCATAAATACAGGGAACCATACAAGTAGTTACTGGCTAACTCTTTGTGGCAGGAGGGCCTGCTCCGATAAGGCCTAGAATCCAATCAGAATGCATACAATGCAAGCTCTCATGCAAGCTGTCTGTGTTAAGTTGCTGTTTGTGCCATGGTAATATTTTTGGTATTCAAGTATGCTAAAACCAGCTGTGAGATCCTGGAGCTGAATCTGACTGAATTATTTATATGGGTTGGAACCAACTTGCTGTCAGTGTGTGTGCGTGTGGGGAAGGGCTGGGCCTACACCTGCAGGAACATGGTAAGGCCTGCACATAAGGCCTGCTGAGGGCACAGGGAAGAGCTGGAAGGCAAGGCCTGCTGCCCATGCAGAGCACATGGCAGAGCTGAACGCCCTGCAGCCAGACTGTCAGTCAAGTCCAACCTGCCTGGTAGCCCACCCACACCACACTCCTGCAGCCTGTGACTGACTACAGCACAACTCACTCTGGCCTGGAAGGCACTGACTGGATATCCTGCCTGGGAGGGAAAACTGAACTCTGTAAATATACAAGACTCCATGCGGTCTCTCCTCTTCTCTTCTTTCTTCTCCCTCTCCAGCCAGCACCATATGAATCATCGGATCTTGTTGGTAACCATTTTTTCCTTTCCCATCTCTCCTTCTCTCTTCCTTCTCTCTTTCTTTACCGCTTTTAATCTATTTTCTTTTACTCCTTTCCTTCTCTTAGGGATAACTTAAAACCAATGAACTGTGTTTTACTAAAGCTGGTACATGGATTGTTTTAGTGGGTGTTTCCTGTGGAATGGGTCTTTGTGCTGAATGATTTAGTGAAATGCTTTTTTCTTGGTTGTATTTTACTCCTGTAAAAACTTTTTTCCAAAATATCTTATTTTTCTCACTAAATTAAAAAGAATATCTCTTAGAGAAGAGTGTGTGACTCTTTCTCTGGATGCTAATTAGAGGTTATAATGAACCAAAAGGCTTTTAAAAAGTCTTAAATAAAAAATGTAACTGCTCTGGGCAGTTTATAGCGTAATCTGGAGCGCAACACCAGCCTGGTTCACCAAACTTCAAACACAGATCCTACTTTTTGAAGTTGGATATGACAGATAAGGTGGTATCTGGCTTGTAAATTTTTAACTAGCAGTCAGTCACCTTATATTATAAAGTTCTAGTTCTCTTTCATACAGTCAGGTTCTTCTAACATAACCCTTCTTGGGGTTTATGTGCGGAGACTCCTCTCTTGGGAGGAGAGGCTGAAAGAGATCTCCCTACAAGCATTGGTATGGATGAGTTACATCAAATTTCTACTTAATAATTATTTCTTTTTGCTAGCTTTAATAAAATTGCTTCAATAATTGATATAGTGCACTATCCTATCTTATACTATACTACTAGTGTTTATATTGTGTAGTAAATTAGTTTTAGTGTTTATATTGTGTAGTAAATAATTCCAATTAAGATCTTTTGTCTGATCATTTGTAATAATAATAATAATAATTATAATTTTGCCAATCATTAAACCTGTGGGACAAAAGTGGTTCAATCACACCTTTGTAATTCCTTACATTTAAATTGTTGACATGATCTGCAGCTAATTGATTTCAGGTGCATTTAGACTCCTCTCTGAGAAGGAGTTTAGAAAGCAAGGCAGTCCTTTCTGCACCTTGTGACTCAGGGCACCTGAATGACTCTGCACCTCGTGATGGCAGGGTTTTTTGTCTAAGCCTTCCACTCCCACCCGCAACACTCCTCTATGTATGTGCAGCATGGGAAGAACAACTCGATGATACAAGAGCACAACTCTCTCCTTGGAGAGCACAAGGAGTGCTTGTTAGCAGAGAGTGACAAACATTTATTCCCACTGCTGCTCTTGGAAGATCGTCAGGTTTCACTGACAATCTCCTGCTTATTCTTCCCTTCCCCAGGTTGGCTCTCAAACGTCTGTAGATATGCCGCAGCAGGAAGCATCCTACAAGGAGCGCCTTTGTTGCTGTGGTGATTTCTGGCTTCCAGAAACACCCACCCTTTGCCAGAGTCCCCATAAGCATATGAGCCCTGTGATTTCTAGGAGGAAATCCTGGATGAAGCAGGAAATCCTGCAGGTGGCTTGTGTGCTTCTTTGGTCTACTGCCAGCCTCAGCCCAGTTCAGCCTCCCTCTGAGCACTGGGTATTAGTTTCAAGAGAAAGCGCAGCAGCTGAGCTGGATCTATTTTGATTTTGGACCATATCAAATTGGGACATCGAGCATGGCTCAGCACATCATTTAACACATAAATGTAGCATCATTTAGCAGCAAGACTACAAGCTCCAAGGGAGCATGTTTTCCAGAGCATACACCCACTCACCTTGGTATTCCCAGATCTGTGAGCAAACCCTTCAACTAACAGAGGATGCCTTTGAGGAAGTCAGACTCTGTTTACCTGCCTTCCGAGGTAAACATGCATGGAGCTCTGTTTCTGTCAGCATCCAAGGGGACATAACTGAATGAGGGGTCTATGGATTTTGCTCAGATTTAGTTCCCACAGCTGAATTGGGATTTCAAAGTCAAGAGATTTATTGCTTACCTGTTAGAGGTGGTGGAGTGTGCAAAGCTGGTGTATCTTTTCTCCTTGGCTTTTTTTGCTCCTGTTCAGCATTTTGGGAAGCTAGGATGGTTTTACCTTTTCTTGGGGTTTTTTTGAGGTCACAGCTCTTAATCAGCTGCTCTGAAAGGTCTTCTGCAGGGAAAAGAATAACAGAAATTGAAACTAAGGGGAAATAATAAACCAGACAGTGAAAAGAAATGCTTTAATAATAGTGCTTTAATCCAAGTAAACTAAAATGCCCATGAAGAAACATCTTTTAAATACTTAGAAACTTATCAAAAGAGGCCTCTGTGCCATACTACATGGGAGTCAAGTGACTTAGGTGGTCCTTCTGTGTTGTAGGCAGTAGATATAAAACAAAGGGAGAGTTGTGGGTAGCTGTGTGTTTACATGGTAGAGGGAAGGCTGCATCATTGTGAGCAGAGGTTCCATGGCTACCCCTGTTTTATCCAGTGCTGACTGTGTGGACTGTGTCTTCAAGAGTTACAAAGGCACTTTTATGAAAGAAAGTTCTACATGTGTGGGGTCAGCCTGAGGTACTGCTAAAATGAGACAGTCAATATATTGTTCCTTTCAAGAGTTGCCTTTGTTTTAAGAGTTACTGAGCTTTTGATTTACATAACATTATACTGGATTTCTGGTTTTCCCCTAAAACAAGCCTTGACTCAGATGACTCAGAGGGTCAGCATGTCTTTTTCTTCAAGAGACTGCATTTTTGGGTGCTTATGCAAGCTGAAAATATTGAAGGTAATCTGTTGTGGTGGTGCATCCTCCTCCCTCACCTCCTCTTCAGGCCTGCTCTTTGATCTCAGCAGCTTCTGACAAGCCTTGGTTGAACCAGCTGAGCGGTGAAGTGCCCCTTAACTGTACCAGTTGGGTGGGGAAGTATCCCTGACCATACTGGGTGCTCTTGCATGGTAAAGGTAGGAACAATTCTGACCATACCAGGAACATCAGCTGCCCAACCCAGGTGAGGAACAAAGGATAAGCAGTTATTCGTGTTAGCCTTGGTAAGTAATTTACCTGAATTGTAGCCCAAGTGAAATGGTACCATTGTTAGGAGACCTTGTGAAAAAAATGAATCATAGCCTGAGTGCAACAGTACTATTGTTACTGGATTTTTTGGGAAAAATTATGTTGTGACCCTATAAACAGCAGTGCTAAGTGAGGCCTCCCGGAGTTTGAGCTCTCCCAGAAAGCAGTGGGCTGCACCAGCAACTCCGTTTGAGTGGGATGCCTCTCGGAGCTCACAAACCCTCAAGTTTGCAATACTTGAAACATCGTCGCTGAAGACGAGGTCTAGGTGGATTCCACACACACACACTGCTTCAGGGCCAGCCCATGCCTGTTGAGAAATGCTAAGGGATTTGATATAAATATTTCATTGAGCTTAAAGGGAATTTTTGACAAGTACCTTTACACCCATAGATCCCTGTGTGCATGCAAGTGAATTGATTATGGTATGAATGTTGTTATTTTGAGTTTATAATTAACTCATTGTTATAATTGTAGCAAATCCTATTGAATCACTTCTTAAAATGTTAAGTTAGTCAATGATTAGGTGCTTTTGCACCCTTTTCTGGTATCCATATCCTCTGCGCTCTAACCCTCTTGCATCCCCAGTCTCTGTGTAAATTATTCCAAACTGCTTCTAATCCAATTTACTTATGTATGCTTCATCTATGTAGTAAGTAATAGAATGAACCTTGCCATTTAACTCGCACTCTCATGAATTCATATTAAAGCCTGTATTTTGCCATGACTTTGACAGTGATTCTTTAAATGTTCTAACTACTCATTTGCGACACCTTTCATTATTATCATCACACAAACCAATGCTCTAAATTCTTAAAAGCTGCTTGTTTGCCTTCGTCTGGGTTCCCCACACCCTTACCCAACCCCTGACTGCAGACTTGGATGCAAGCGCAACTTCATTCCAGGCTCTCTGAACACTATTTAAGACGTGTTATGTCTGTGAGCCTGCAGACCGTAAAAATGGTGCCTGTGGTTAGAAATGCCATGTGACATGACAGAACTAGGATACCTTCCTTGTGGGACAAATAAACAAAATTTATAAAATTCTGCTTGCCTGTGGTGAGACACTTTTTTTTGACAAGTGTCATAGTTTGAAATTGGCCCCCCTTGAGAGTTCGAGGGGCTCAGAAGTGATTGGGTGCCAGGACAGTGTTCCCTGGAGAGCCAATCACTGTCCATGTTGTTCGCTTCTGCTCAAAATCATATATCACAGCACCGGAAACGGCTGGCAGGGCAGTCTTGGTTGTTTTGCTGTTGGTGTCTGCTGCGTGTAGGTGGACAAGGCCAGGGGGTGGCTGGGCTGCCTCTCTTCCCCTCCGGGGGGGAGAGCCTTTGGCTAGAATTAGAGTCAGCATTTGGAGAGTGTGCTGTGAAGGAAGAGATTCACAGCACCTGAGGTAAGAGGAGAGAGGCAGGCTTTGCAGCCAAGCCCTCTCTTCCCCCTCCTTTTCTGCAGTGAAGCTGTAGAAGGGGGCTTTTTTCCTTTCCCTCCACTGTAAGTGGAGGAGGGGCTCAGAATTAAAGCTGAGCCAAGAGACTGGGCCGTGGAAGTAGGACCGGCGCTCGGGAGAAGAGTCATGGGCAAAATTGGAGACAAGCCAAGAGCTCGAGAGTTGCCTGCCGAAGCTGACCAAGGACAGCTGAGAACTGATGTGGAGGAATGAGGATTCCAGGATGTGGACGCTTGATAAACTAAGCTACACTACAACAGCTTACGAACCGAGGTGAGACACCGAGAGGGAGGAATCACCAGCAGCAGAAGAGCAAGGACTCAAAGCTATCTTCTCGGACTTCATAAGGAGGAGAGACTACAACAAACAACTGCTGGAACTTGGTGAGGAAGGAGTGTTCAGGAGCCCAGAACACTCCCACAGCAAAAGACCGTGTTACATAACAGCCTTAAGGGCTGCTCCTGGACTAAAGTTAAAGGAGGGGCTTGAAAGGACTGACTGATAGTAATGTTATATATATATATATATATATATGTATATATATATATATAGTTGCCTTTAGTTTGTATAGTATTTATTTGTGTAAATAAATGTATATACTTCCCCCTTCCCCTACAGAAGCCTCTGGCCTGAAAGTTTCTCTCCGGTATTAGGATAAATTGTTGAGAAGGGGTGGGGAAAGCCTAAAAATTGGATTTTAGATTTCTAATGTGGCTCAAACTGCCACAAGCAAGTGAAATTGCCTTTGTGTTTCATTATTGTCATCGCAAGGGTAACAGTGAGCAAAGAGATTTTTGTTTCTGGGTAGCTAAATCTTCAGGGCAATTTTGCAAGATGGGAGTGAAGTAATAGCATTTGAAGTAGAAGCAAAGACCATGAATATGCAAAAAGCACATCTGTCAAGTATGGAGTCTGGTATTCAGGAGAGTGGCAGACCAAAGACGACTGGTATGCCTAGTGTAAAAAGTAGGTTCAAGAAAGGAAACAGATTGATGATGAAGGAGGAAACGTTTTTAGAAAGCTGCCCCAATAAAGGTAAATGGGATGCTTGAAATCTTTTACTCAAATTGCATATGGAAAATGTGTTTAGGTAAAGCTTAGCTATATCCTAGATTTCAGTTTGCTGTGATATAAATGAAGAAACTGCTCTATGTTTTCTACTGGAAAAAGATCAATGACTCTTTTAGCTTTCTCCTCTTTAATTAATTTCACTCTAGAATTTCAGTTGATATTTATATGCAGGAAAAATGCTCTTTGCCTTTCCATCTGGCATCAGAAGTGTCAGCAGAAGGTGTAATTATCCGTTTTCATCAGGGCTCAGTTGTATCACTGGAGGGGAAAAGTGGACACTGGACAGGACTTTATGATGTGAAGGCAACACCTCTCATTAGTGCAATGACATCATCTAATAACACTTACCTAAATGGTTACACTGTGAATCTCGCTTATCCAGTCTGTCATCTGGCATATCAAGTGGCTGAACATATTCTGTTGACATCATTGAAATAGGCTTTTCTCCTCCTTTGAAGATACTACACACACACAGACACACACAAAAAAACCCAAAACAAACCAACGAACAAAACTGCAACCAAAACCAAAACCAAACCAAAACAAAAAAACCCAAACCAAAACAACAAAAAAAGCACAATCATTTTGGTGTTATGTATCCACTTGCCAGCCAGATCATGATGAGCTCTTGTCTTCCAGCTGCCCTCTGTCATGCAGTCTGCTGGCCTGATTTCAATCACACATGCTGAGATGCATCCTTGCTGTAAGCAACCCACAGTAGTGCGGGTTGGCTCTACAGAAGAATACTGACTTTGATCATACAGAAAGTGCTATCTCATACTCATAGTAAATACTAGGGGTTTTTTCTGGTTTTTCTAGTTTTCTTCTCTGTTTTTTCTCAAATATAAACTAAGGATCATATTTGGTGTTTATTATATGATCCAACTTTAATTATGAATTCTGTTGAGTTAGTCTTATAAGTACGGCTCCTCTAAGAGACCTTGAAGACCCTGAAGATCCAAGTGTAAGGGCTGCCTCAGAAAGATGACCAGTGCACACAGACCCCAAAGCCAGCATGAAGTAGACTTCCTTATCACTTTGGTAAGAGCACGGAAACCCATTTCACTAGGCTGTTTATTTGTCCATGCTCTGTAAGTCTCAGTAGATTGCTGTTTTGGCTGGTTTACCCCTCTTTACGCATAGCTGCAGTCGGTGTTGAAGCCCATCCTCCTACCTGAGCTTCCCCAGCACCTCCCCCAAGCTGAGAGTTGATCCTGGACTCACTAACTCTGGGCTGCCACAGATGCCATCACAGAGAGAAGAAAATTTGACCGTTTTTCACTGCTGATTGTTTCTACGGTTGCTTAGCAGAAACCCATCAGAATGTTAAAGGAAGAAGACCTTCAACCTGAAGGCACAGTCCAAGTGATCTTGGTATCTCCCTTCATCCAGCAACAGTTGTGCTAGTTTCTTATGCATGACCTCTATTGTCCATTTTCAGGGAATAAGAGCAGACTGACTTCCTTGTAAAGAGGAGAAAGGCAATGAGGAAGAGAAAAAAAACACAGGAGACAATAAGAATAGTGGATGAAAGACAGGTTGAATTGGGAAAATGAATGAAGGGGAGGTGGAGAAGGAAAGGCAAATAAAAGAAAAGTGAAAACAAAGGCAGCTGGAGAAAAGCGGTGAAAAGGATGATGGGAAAATAGGAGACTGAACTGTGGGACTTTATTTTTATCTTGCTGGAGGTAAAGAAATTACCTTATTGTTTCTCTGTAAATTGCAGTGGTTGTTTGTCAACAAGAAACAGAACAGTAGGAGAATTAACCTCATTTTTATGACTGCATCTATATAAAGAACAATTAATTCTTATAAGCAAAATCCAGTCACATAAATATTTGCAAAAGAAAGTATGAAAGGTTGCACTGAGCTAATTCTTCAGGGGATGGAAAAACATGTCTTAAATGCCAGTGACTTCAAAGTAAGTGGAGTAACACTGCCTAGGAGCATAAAATTTTACTCAGCTTATGTACATGTGGGATTAACTCCCTTACATTTTAGTATTTAAAATTTACAAAAATTTGTAACATTCTACAAATTCTTAAAACCTTACTGAATCAGGCCTGTATAAAGGGTTCGACCTCTGGATGTTCACTGTAGAACTGTCCCCATCCAGCCTCACATATTTACTAAAGTATTATACCACCTGAAGACTTCATTTGCACTTACAGCAAGAAAAATCTCCCACTTGAGAAGACCCTACATAAAGAAATCTTTGAATACACCTTAGCATGGTACAGTTGCTCTGTTTCTCCACTGTATAAATAAACTATAACTATGGCTTAAAATGAAGCAGACATAATTTTATTTAAAACAAAAATTTATAATCTGACCAAATGAAAGTGCACACTGCATTTTGTGATTTGAGGGAGTTTTATTCTTCAATACCATTTGATTTTATTGCATTTGATTAGGGCACACTGGCTAAACACTATGATTGTAGTGAATATGTTCTTTTCTGAAGGATACTCTCTTTACAAGGTTTCCAGTAAAATCAGGGGTACCATTTCAGACACTATGGACTTTTTTTCTGAACAGGCCTTGAGGCAAAAAGGCTGAGGATAGGTAGCAAAATTTAAACATATAGTTGGTAATAAATTATATTGACTGGAAATGTTTTATAAAATATGGTTAATTTTGGTTAGATTTCATTAAGTTGTTTCATTAATTATTTCACCTAATAAAAATTAAGCTTTGTAAAGAGACTTGATATTGGATTGGTATATGCAGATTATGAGAAAATTGCACCATTGTTTTTTCTTAATATATTAGTTTGAAAAATATTATTCTAAAATACAACTCTTAGATCTATGTTCATATTTTCATGGTCACACGTGCCAAGCCCCTGGCATCTTCAGTGCTTTAAAATACTGCTTTACAGCCTAACTTCTGACACTTCCCTTCCTTTTTTTTTCTTTTGTAAGTTTGCCCTTCAGCCAGCATTGCCTTGCTTACAAAAGTGTTTACACACTGCACATTGTGGCAGTCTGTGTGACAAAAGAATAAAAAGAGACAAATTACCAAAATATATCATGGGTTTTGGCATCTTGGGTGTATATGCATTGGGTACAATGTGTGGACCTGTGAGTGCTGTTACGTCCTCACAGCTGTTACATTACACACAGAGCTCTCCTTCAAAGGAGGGTTGCTGTATGTGAGCATTGCAATAGTACTTTTCCAAACCATTAAAATATACTCCTGTAACTAAGGAAAACACATTCCCCAGTAACATTTTACATGTGAAGGTAGCCTGCTATGGGGACTGTGTGTCCCCATTGAATTGAAGCTTGTTCTCAATTTTCATGTGTTAAGTGCAACACTTTTCCTAGCAGCCTTCACACTAGCACAGTTTGCACTCTCTGCTGCCATCAGTCACCTTGGTAGCTAATGCTTGCTATTTATATGATGAACTAAGGTGTTTTTTTCTTGCACTTTGTTATATCTCTTGACATAATGATGCACATTCATCTTTTATGCATTTGTAATGGTTACAGTGGAGCTCTAAATCACATTCAACAGAAGATACTTCCTGAAATGCTATAGATCTTTCCATATGAATTAGGATTCAATGGTCATTTAGCCTGAGACTTTGGTACAATGCAGATAGGCTGTACCACACCCCTGCAAAGATATAGGACTAAAGGAGTTGCCTTGAGCCTCTTATTTCTAGGAAAAAATAGAGCTGATTGAGACACCTGAAATACTTTCCTAAGAGTTGAGAGAAACTCTAGTTTTGCCGATATGGTTTTTTATTGCCCCTTGTTAAAATTTTTGGCATTCTATAGGATTGGCTCTAGTTACAGACAGAGGAGGACAATGAATGATAAGGCAAACTGAAAAGTGCAGGTATGACTAAAAGCTACTTCAGCCTCATGTAAATGAACTTTCATGCTAAATCACTGTCGTATAACAGTAGGACTCCTTTGGGCACACATTCGTGTAAGACATGGTGGTTCAGATGAAAAATATCTGAACTTTTCACTTTCTGGATGTCAGCTTTGGATTTTTAGATAGCTTGAAGTGCATTCTATTTTTTTTCAAAATTCTCAGTTGCTGTACATGCTTGATTAAAGTGCCCAAATAAAGCTATCCTATCACTCACTAACATAGTCTTAAAATACACAAAGGCTTGCAAATAATATGATTCTTTTCTTTGCTTAAATTGTGGGTTTCCATAAAAAAGGGCACCAATGCAAACAGTTCCAGGCTTCAATTATATAAAAATATTTTGCTGGAGACAGACAAAGGAACTGGTTTTGGTCTACCATTTTAATGCACAGTTGGTTTAATGTAGATATTTGTTTCACAAGTAAGCAGCCTAGAGCTTAGGAAATACTCAGTAAAACTACTCACATATTTCTACTAAAATGATGTAAATCTTTCAAGGCCATCTGATACTGTGACATTTAAACCAACTTATGATGAAATCTCATGAGAAAAATCTACCTTGTAAGATAGAAAACTAAAGCTTTCAGAACAAAACTAAAGGGCTGGACTTTTCATTTGATCCTGAACTAGGCATGGAAATGGCTTGGGGGGAAAGTTAAATCTCCATTTCTTGTCTTCTCCTAGGGTTTGAATGGTTCTAGGTGCTACATGAAAATTAGGTACCTAGGGATAGTTGTATCTAGTCTCAAGGGACAATGCAGTTCTCAAATGAGTCATCAATAGGTGATCACTCTTATAGATAAGATGGAGAAATGAAGTTCTGATATGCAATTCTTATGAAAGTTTACAGGGGCTATGTGGGCATTGATGTCAGTACTCCTCACCATTGTATAGTAAGGCTCATGGTTTCCTTGTATGTTGAATACTTAGAATTTCTGAACTGACCCTTTGTAAGGTATCCGCAAACTGTGCTTCTGAAGACTTCAGTAGACTATGTGGTGTTGTATGTGAATTTTTTTTCTTCTTGTTCGGAGGAGTGTTTTGTTTCCACAATTGACAAAATCCCAAAGAAAAGCATGTGCTAGTTTCCAAGACATGCACAATTATTAAAGAACCCATTGGCATGTTGACAAGGATGCTACATAAATAAAAGTACTCTTGAGACGATCCTTGTTAGGTAGCAGCAGGCAATCTGAATTTAATAAGTATATTTTGGTAGTTGGTAATACACATTGCCACAAAAGCCTGTGTGACACTATGTACATATCTTCTGAAGCCAGAGCAATTTGTAAGAATGTATTTTGCCATGAGCTGAGAGAAGAAGAGGCAGAAAGAGAGGCAACTGGGGCCCTGGAGTGGGACAGCGTGCACACATGCTTTTCCACATTCCCATAGGCAGGGCATGGCCTTGCTGCTGCTGGTGTACCCTATACTTGGAAATGAGAGTAAGTAGGAATATCTTACAGGGTGCTTCCCCATGCAGACATGAGATAGAGGCTGTACTGCAATAGTTACAGTCCAGCTTTGACCAAAAGCAGCATATTGCTGTCGTGCCCAAAGACCTGCTCTGGCATCAGGGTTTGCTCTTTAAGACTGGTACCTCTTCTCCCATCACATGCACATTTACGGTTTTAATTGATTATTAAAATATTTTAAATTGGTTTGCCCCTTTCTGTCTGGTTGCAATGAGCACATGAGCAAAGAGGGTCAGGCAGGCTCCCAGCATCCTTCCCTGCTCTTCTGTTGCCTCCCTAAACCTATGTGGGAGGCAAAGACAGACCTGTCCTTCCTTCTATAGCATGTCCTTTGCAGAGGGCCCTATAGTGCAAGCAGGTTCCTTATTTGCATTAAGTCATTTACAAATGCATAAAGAAGGAATAAGATACTATCCCCTGGATGTAGCCATCTCACATCGACCTTCCCAACACAGAAATCACGCGAAACAGCTCAGGGGCCAAGGGGGATGGTACACCACCAGGCTACATTTGGCTTCTTACACCTTCACTCAGCAGGCAGACTTGGCACCTTTATCAGCAAATATGCACCTCATACCCCTTCCTATCCTAGCCCAATTGCAACTGCTTCCTGGCAAGTCATAAATAAAGCAAGACAACCAGTCTACTGCAGTCAGAGTAGAAAACAGATGTCCTAAAAGTAGAAAGTCTGGGTGTTCTTGTGTTGCATTCCAAAATTTTGTTACAAGTTTTACCATATGTTTAATGTTACCCTCCTGGAGTGATGCCTTCCTGGGCACAGAAGACAGCTTTATGCTAATACACAGAGTTTCTTCTTCAGTTATTTAGGCACTAGGCTGCTCTCTCCAGGTATTCTTTTCAGATTAGTCTGACTTTTACTTTTCTAAAGCATATTTAATTCTTCTTAGCAAACACTTAGATATTGGAAAGCTGGATCTGAGTGCCTCCTTCCACCCCAAAACTTTGCTACTACTAATAACACGGATACAGAAATACCACAGAATTGTCTGGGAGCAGTTTCTTCTCACAGAGAGTGTGCTTCTGGGCACTATTTCAAGAGCCTTGGCTGGGCTGAGGACTGATTCCCAATATCATCCATAAACATGTAAAATAAATAAAAATAACAACAGCTGAACTTTTGATTGACTGAAAAATTGTGATATACATTTACACAGGTTCTGGTCACAAAGTTTTTGCCTTTGGAAATAATAAAAAATACAAAGTCTTCCTTAATTATTTCCTTAAAGAACCAATTAACCCCTTGCACATGCCAACCTTAGTAGTGGGATAAGAAGTCCTGATACCAATTCCCACTCTGCTGGATTGTATTATCTGCCTGTGAACTGTCCCCGCAGTTAAAGTTAGTCGAAGCAGTTTTCTCTTAAGTACTCTCCCTGCCATGACCCCATCCATGCATTCCAGCCTCAATGCAGTCACACCCCAATTTTCTCCAAATGGGACCATCCCAAGCCCAGTCCCTGCTGAGTGGGACCCTTTCTTGCTAGTCCCCAGAGCCCCAGAGGTGAGAAGGCAATTTGCCATGCTGGTGGTGACTGCTAAAAAAAAAAAAAAAAAAAAAAAAAGAGAGAGAGAGATTAAAATCAGGAAGCCAACCAAGCCAACCAACCGGGAGAGAAGCATGCGAGTGTGTGGCTGAAGTACTTACAAAGCGGTGCGAGGTGGTGAGGAAGGTGCAGTTTGGCGTCGAGGCTCGCTGGAGGGGCTGGGGCTGCAGCTGACGCTCTTGCCTGTCTTATCTAGGGAGCAGTAGGAGCCGTCGCTATGGCAACGCCATGCTCAGGCGTCCTCTGGGAGGCTGGGGAACAGCATCACCAGTCCCTGACCCACCAGTGAGTGGATTCTAATCCTGTTTCCTTCCTCTTCCACGAGTTGCAGAGGCCGAAGGAGAGGAATCAGAATGCAGGGGAGACGGGCATCGCCTCAAGGCTGAGGCACCGTTCCTGCCGGATGACCAAGAGCCACAAATGCTGGTGCTCTCAAAGAAGTAGGGGAGGATTCAAAAGCTTTGGCACAGAGAGCCAAAAGGTGAGCTGTAGCTGCCGTGTCTAGAGGCACAAAGAAAATGACAAGGGGAGGGAGCAAGACTGATGACGTCAGGGACCCAGGGGAGAGCTGAGGGTAAAAGTGCAATGTGTCCAGGAGCAGCACCATAAGCATGAAAACTGATGGACAGTCTCTCCAGCACTGAATTTCAGGAATGACTGGAGTGTTTGTGTATATATCTGGCCACAACTGGTTATACAAGCATGGTATTTATGGGGCCAGGCAAGGAGTTTTCCATGGCTGCCAGTTGTTTGCCAGTAGAGACCAATCTCTCCTATACCTTTGGATGGAGCTGTTGTTTCAACTGAAAGAAAAATATACGAACATGCCTGACATTAGAAAAACTCTGGAAGAAATACTCTACTCAGTGGTGGGAACTGCCCTTCTCTTAGTATTCATTTGCAACAAAAATGCTTTTGTCTAGGCCTTTTTATTAAAACATCTTTAAAAACTCTGATTACTTACAGTTGAGGTTGTCTTCTCCTCTTTTCCCCCACTCAGCAGCTGCAATTCAAAAGCACCAGTGTGCATAGCATACTTTAAATTAGTCCAGGTTCCTTTCATAAACAGCATATTGTACAGAAGGCCAAAGGGACAAAGTGCTAATTGCCAGTCCTGCAAACTGTGCATCACCCTTGGATCCTTTATGTATCATATGCAGTTCTGCAAAATGCCAAGCATGTTAAATGCTCTAAAGGCACCACCTGAAAGAACTGTGAGCTTTCCTCATCAATGCCTGGGAGAGAAAAGCACATTCATTACTCTACAGAGTGTAAATCACCTGTGTTTAGGTGAATCAACGTCCAATCTTCAAGCTCATAAATGCACTCTTGAAAAAATTAAGCATAGGCTCCTAAGATTTTTTTGAGTCACGATTAAGATTTCTAACTGAAAAGAAATCAAACAAACAAACAAAAGCAAAATAAAAAACAACACCTCCCCTTCAAACTCCTCCAAACCATATAACCCCCAAAATTGATTTTTATGATTTCCCCATCTCCATCATTGCCAAGACCACTCTGTTGCAGTGAATTTTAAATAAAACCCCTTTATTTTCCATTGAAATGACTTTTACTTGGAAACACAGGTTATGCCATATTTTTCTATGCACTCAGAAAAATCAGAATGAGATGACTGAATAGTAGGCTCATGAAACACAATGCTCAAATCAGAAATACCTTTTTGAAACTCAGCTCAAGACTGCCTTTTTATTGTCCTGATTGAAAAAGTGAGTCATTCATTTATAGCATTAAAGAATTCCCTGAGGGTGAGGAAATAATTTCCTGTTCTAGCCATCAGATCCCAAGGTTGCTTTGGGAATATTACAGGATAGGTTTACTCAAAAAGAAAGCAGACTATCACACTCAGCAAGATTATGTATCCAGCCCTGGTCATCCCTTAGATTTGTTAGCCACCACCTGATGCCATGAAGCATTTAACTACAGCAGCATATTTATCCCAGTCTTTACAGAATGGCTGTTGCATTACCAGTGTGATGGAGGATTTACTCTCAAACCTGATCTTTTAAATGCTTACAGTTGTTGTCCTGCTTTTAAGAGGGTTGGGACTTCTGCCAGCTTTCTAATCCTTCCTGCTCAGTTATTTCACAATAATAGTTGGAAAATAGTCTGAGTTCATAAAAAATCTGCACTTTAATCCTCTTCCTATGTACATGAGTATTCCCGTCTTGGGAGAAGTAGTTCTTGGGAAACTACTCCTGTAGTTAAAGACAAGAACGTATCTAAAAGTTTCCAGGCCAGTGCTTTAGAAGACGAGCTTTGACAGATAGGAAAGTAGGAGAAGATCTAACAAAAAACATAAATACAACACATACACACACACACATGCACACGTGTACCTACATGCATGCATGTATGTTTGTATAACTATTACCTTCCTATGTGTTTGTTATTGGTCATGGATGTGGGGCAGAGCAGCTGATGCTGCCTGCAGAGGTGATATGGTTTGAAGCTGGCTCCCTGCCAAGTCTCCAAACCTTACCACAAGAAGTGTCGTTCCCCTCCCCCCCCCCCCCAAACCTCAGGGAGAAGAGGGAAAAAAAACCCAACCCAAGAGAACCGAAACAAGAGACAGCTAAAGCAATATATATAAATATATTTACACTTATGTTACAGTTATATACAATTGAAATATATATACAATTTCACAAGGAAAAGGGAAAGGGAAGGGGGAAGGGAAAAAAGGAACAAAACCAAAATAAAATATATATATATCCCGATCAGCAGCCCAAGATCTAGCAACTAAAAGAATTAGCAAAAGACTATGTTACTACTCTCCTTGGGACTACAGAAAGTCACGCTGGAATGATCGCTGGCAACCCCTGTCTCCCAAGGTCGGCAAGGCTTTACCAGGCCTCACTCTCCAGTACGACAGACTCAACAGCAAGGAAACCCACACCTCCAAGCCGCCAGAAGGAAAGAGAGCGAAGGCCTTTCCTCCTTTCTTCTTATAGCCTGGCTTATGTAAAAATTGTAGGGAATACTGGGTAAATCTGGGCCCTTCCTTGGTTACAAACTGGTCACCAAGGAAGGCCTAGACTAAACTACCACAAGAGGCAAGGATGAATCTGCTGGGAAGGAGGTGAAATTGTGCTGCAGAGAAGAGAAACAAGACACTGGAGATGACCAGGTAAGTCATATCACAGTACCTTCCCATACAAAACTCTCTCTAAAGAAGTGAAGGTGAGTATGATTATCAGTACCATGAAGGCCTGTTGCCTTAAAAATGACGTAGTTGTATCCTCTGTATCCTCTGTATGTTCCATATCTTCTTCAGAAGACCATGAAAATCTATAAAACTAATATACAAGACATTTGTACCATTTTAGTTCTGTGGGGTTTCGTATTCAATTATTTACATTAAGGTTTTTTCAGATTTTGCTTTCAACCCTGACACTACTTTCAGATGAAATAAGAACTGCTGATAAGATGGAAGTGAAGGGTGATTTCCCTTTTATAGATCTTAGGCATCTGAGAACTGTTAATGATTTCTCCTCAAGTCACTTCTCTATACAGTAACCTGTGGTTACAGCCAAGATAATATGTAACAAGGGATCATGGGAGTTGTAGTTTTCCGAGCTCTCACGCATGCTCAAACAGTACTTGATTGTCATTGGTTGGAAGATCATGTGACATGTTTAAGCGCTGTATTTAAACCTAAGTGTTTTGAAAAAAACCCTCAATTCTGCTCTGGCACTGGTTCATGTTTGAGCAGGGTTCATGCCTTAAACAACACCTAAAATGGCGCCCGAACAGGGACTACAGCAGGTTACTGGGAACCAGGAGCAGCAAGCTCTGGGGAACCTGTCTGGAGGTGTCCATATCGCCAAAATCAAAAGGAAGAAAAGGAAGAATTCAGTGTGCCGGGTTACCTCTGCAAAAAAGGGACAAAAAGGACGAAAAGAGGACAACAGAGTTTGAGCACACAGAGGTAACCAAAACACTTTGACGAATATGGGAAGGTGGTTTACCAGTCAGGAGGGAATTACTCCAGAAATCAAACAAACAGATGAAGCTATCACTTGACTTTTACAAGAACAGAACATAAACATAGAAGAAAGCAAGTTATGGGACTTATTATATTGGATTTCGTTGCATGAACTTACTTTACCTCTAACTGGACCTTATCAAATATCATCTTGGAGGAAAATAGGGAACAAGCTCATTGAAAAAGCCATGGAAGGACATTACGATAGCTTTAAATGTGCACTACAGAAAGGCAAATGCACCCGGGAAAATAGACTCTTCTCCCCCCTCACTCCTTTCCCCTCAACCCCCCCCTTCAACCCCAGCCCCCCCACCGACCACCTGGTGCGGGGAATGGGGTTAGGGTTAGGGGGAGCCCTTGGGGGGGACAGTGCAGCAGAAGCATGTGGTGTAGAAAGGCATGGCACTGGGTTTGCGACACAGCCATATGCTGCTTTCGCCGCCCCCCCCACGCCTACAGCCGGCAGCGGCGTGGCTGCTGCCGACCGGAGCCACCATGGAGCGGTGCACTGAGTGGCGCGGGGCTGCTGGGGTGGCTTTGGCGGCTGTGCAGCCAGCCGTGCCAAAGTTTGCCAGGACCGCCGCTCCGACCAAGTTTGCGGCGGAGCTGCTCACAGTCGTGCCACCTCACCCAGGCTTGGGGGGTGGTGGCACAGGCTCAGTGACTGGGCTTTCAGCTGGGCGTGCCAGCCAGGCGACAGCATGGCCGGCAGGCGGTTTCATTGTGGAGCTGCCCACGGCCACGCTGCCTGCTCTTGGAGCTGCAGTGGCGGGAGCTGCTTGCTTTGTGGGGACCAACCGCCGCACTCCATGTGCTGGCACCGCCAACCCCGCGGCGGTGTTTGCAGCAGGCGCAGAGCCAGGACGAGCCGGAGCTGGGGCGGTGGCAGCTGGGGGGGGATGCTGGCTTTATACCAACGCCCAATGCTGCAGCTGAGACCGTGCCGTATAGAGCACCAAGCGGTACTGCTGGAGTCGCTGTTCTGGCAGCCCCAGATGCGCTGTTGCCGACTGTGGAGGCAGGGGCGCAGCGCCCAGGTGGCTGCCATGGCAGCAGGGGAGGTATGTTAGTTTTGCCAGGTTGTGTGGCAGCCCTGACCCCAGGACCATCATGAGGCAACCCCGAGCAGGGAGGGCGCAGCCGCCTTGCTCCTGCTTGTGGGGCAGAGGTGGGGGTGCCTCTCCAGCCCGTGGCGGTTGCACGGCCAACATGCGGAAGGAGAGTGGCAACAGAGGCACCGCCGTGTTGCCCCTGCTGCACAGCGGAAGTGAAGCCTTCACTTCCAACGCCACCCCCAGGTTCAGGCATTTCTCCGGGGGGGGGGAGGGATGACTATGACGAGCAAATAGACGGTGAGTTTATAGAGGACACAGAAGGGGAAACAGCCACAGGGTCGGGCAAGGGTCCCTCCATAGGTTTATGGGATAAATGCAGGGAGGAAGCATCTCGTGT